CTTGTGTTGTTAGCATTGTTTACGGCTACAAATTACGTTTAATGGATTCCAAATCTAAGTAAAGTATAAAAGATAAAATTTAATATGCTACACCTTATTATAATTATTTTTACGTGTGTATATATATATATATATATATAGATATTATACTTACAATCTATTTTTCCTTACAACCATTTTTATAGTTGTTGGATCAAAATCAAATCAATAATTTTTGTTTAATGTTATTTATAACCGGTAATTTGATTTTGATCCAACTTATATATATAATGTTTTGTTTAAAATTAGCACAAATAATTCGGGTTACGATTGAAGATATTCAATTTTTAACTAAGACTACAAATTTTTTGCATAATGTACTCAAAGAGATAATGAACCTCTTGTCACCTCAAGCAAATTAAATTTTAATTTAACAGAAAAACTTATCTCTTATTTATTTTATGAAATTTTAAATTCAAGTGGCTTGTTGGGACTTGCATGAATCAATTTTGTTCAAATCAGATGCAGAAACGCGACAAAATTTTCTACAATGAGTTAATGTTAGTGCCTTATAAGTTATGAGACATTGCGCCGCAAGCGTTATCCTTTTGATTCTTTGACAACCAACCATTTGGAGAAGTTATTAGTCATTTTCATGTTACTAATAAAAAAAAAAATATTGTATTTTTGTATTTTTATATTTTGTTACTTTATGTTATGTGTTCTTAATAATTTTAAAAATATATCATTTTTTTATTTCATCACAAAGTAATTTTTTAAGAATATTAATTTTTTCATGCTATAGGAGACAAAATACCTCCTATTGCATATATAAAGTCATTGTGAACACTATTGCAATAAAAAGAAGGGTTCGTTTTTTCTGCAGTTACTGCAGATAAATTATCTGCAGTAAGCTAATACGACGTCGTTTTGGAGCGGAAATCATGGTGTTTTGTAATTTTAATTTATTTCAGGGTTATAATAGTCTTTCTATTTATAATTTTTTAAGATTTCAATACCAAAATGACGTCGTTTTGAGAATAAATGCAGATAACTTATCTGCATTAATTGCAGAAATATTTTTCCTTTAAAAAAAATATAATTCTAGAGATATGCAAGAGAAAAAATGTCTCTCCAACAATAATAGAGATATTTTTTTCCCGTTTTTAATAGGTTTTATAAACATCATTTTGTAGGAAGAAGACTATGTCATATCATATATTTTTCTTAAATGCGGGCCCACTAAATCATCTCCCAGCAGAGATGTACTCATCTTTCGTGCAACAGGATATATATAAAACTCTTTTTTAATCCATTCTTTCTATAAAGATCTTTGTTATTCTTCATTACACATTCTTTTCTTTATCCTCAAAGGAAGCCGTCATTCTTTTTATTAGTCTTATTTCTTCTCTAAATTTATCTCTGAATCATTTTTTGTTTGAAAATAGTTTTATTATTTATCCATTTTTTTATTCAAACATACGTGTGCTTTTATTTTATTAAGCGTTCAATAGCTTGTTTAATAAATAAAAAACTAATTTATCTACTAAAAAACAAGAACTAATTTAACAACATTTTTAAAAAATAATTGAAGGAAAGACATTCTAAATATGTTTTAAATTTTATTTGAATGAAAAAAAAATTATTTAAATGGTCAAATTAAAAGTTCTGATCATAAAACTAAATTTGCTATCGCTCAAAAAAGACTTACTTGTATAGATATATGGTTTTTAACTAAACTCCCAAACAATTTTCTACATAATATTTACCTTCATGATTGTAGTATGATTACAAATCACTTTAACTAGCATAATTATATATTCGTATAATAGTGCTCTAACTAGCAAAATGCAAATTCCAATTTGAATCATTCATGCATTATTCAATACACAACCAACATTTTATTTTTATCTTTTTTACATATTTACCGATTTATCAATTACTCAATTAATTTGATTTTAAAATTATCAAACTCTTTATAAAAAATGGTTTTTCTAAAATTATTTTCTCCATTCCCATTGCTAGAAGTCGGGAAAAGGTAAATTGTTTCTATTAATAACTCTTTGATGCTGCTAACTGCTTATAAGGCACATCCTCTTAGTAGATAAGTAGTGATTTGTGGCCAGTGAAAACAGATATTAGGGAGTTTGGACACTTTTGAAGATCAACTAGCACAAACGGACTTTCATATCATGATAATGACCAAATTGAAGAGGTTCACAAATTTAGAACGTGTTTAGATTCTCTTATTTTTAAGCTAAAAGCTATTTATAAGCTAAAGTTAAAAAAAAGAACTTAAAAAAAGAAGCTAAAAGCTGTTTGATAATTACATAAAAAATTTAGCTTAAAAATTACTTAAAAGCACATTTTTCAAGAAAATTATCTCTCTTTTTATTTTTATAACTCTTCATTTTAAAAAAAAAACACACAATTCAACAAAAATAAATAAGAGCTTAAAAAAAAAGATCCTAGGAGCTTTTAGTTTTCATTTTTTTTTATTATTATCTAAAAAAGAATTTTTCATTATAAGAGCTTTTTTCAAAATCTATTTAACCTAACTTATACTTATAAGTAGTTTTTCTCTTGAAAAAAAAAAGAAGATTCAAATAAATACTTTGCTTAGATAAGCAAAAAGCAACGGAGACAAAATCTACTGTTTGTATGGTGGCCACAAAACCCAATGTCATGATGCTACTATACTAAATGCACTTTTGGCTTAATAGCAAAGCATGTATTGTCACAAGTCACAAGCACACCACATGCAATGTGCATGATGAATCTCAGAGTTTGTCGAGACCAACCATCTAAATGCACCTCTCAATGCTTGTTTTGGCAATGCAAATCTCGTGAGAATAGTGGAATTGCTAAATGCAAGTGTTCTCAATCATCCAAATTCCTTAGATAAGGTAACATGGCATTGACTAGTATTTAAAACTACTCTTCTTAACCCAATTGTTATTGTTAAACATCGTTCTCTATGGATAGACATGAATCCCCATTTTCTGCCTTGTCTTTTCCTGCATTTATGGTTACTCCTCTAGCCCCCACTCCGTAATAAATCAAAGAGCCAAAGTTTGAAAATTGACAAATTTGGAATGCCTTAAAACAATCCAGAAGCTCCTTTTTTGTGGTTAAGAGCACCTAAACTTCATATAAACCTTGTCGTTGGTTTGTTTTGTTACATAACAGGTTAAATGAATATTAGGGGTTGTAAAATTAAACGGGAAGATTATATTTACAAATTTTTTGTTTACAAATTCTTACATATTACACTATGTCTGAACAGTAATACACTTTTGAGTAAAGTATTACCGATTAGACATAGTGTAATTTGCAAAAATTTGTAAAAAAATTTTGTAAACGGATAATTCACCAAATTAAATAGTATTAGCATTCTTTTAGTATTTCCAAGCACGTGAATCACCTGATAGAGAGTTGTTCCAGCTTAACCAATTATTTTGAATTCGAGTCCTCATAATTTATGTTTATGAGTCATAAACATATATTTATAGAGTTTGTTTGTCTTTTCTATTTTTTTGTGGATTTTATAAGAGTTATGTTGTAGGAAGAGAGATTGTGTGTTATAGAGATTTGTTTTACGTGTCATAGTTTTTTTTTTTTTTCAAAAAGTGTGAACCTCACAGAATGTTGTGTGTGTAAAAAACTTTGTTGTGTCATGTTAAATGTTAAATGCAAACCCCTTTTTTTATACCCTTATACTTCAATTTTGCAACTAGCCCTTATATGAGAAAATGTGTTCCATAATGATGAGCAAGAAGCATTATCTTTTTGCAGTCACCCAAAATAGTGTTATTTAGATTTAGTTCTTTTAAAAACTTCTATATATATTATTAAACAATACAATATATGTATACTGTTTTTAAATTACGAACAAATTAAAGCACGTCTCAAAATAGCGAATTGCACCGAAGGTAAAGAATTCCTTGGAGCAAATTAATTAGTGCAAAAATCATATTATTCGAACCATTTGAACTTACGATGACTTCGTAAGGGAATTGAATAATCAAGTGAATCCATATCAAAGCATTTTGAAGCCATTTCTTTATGGATTTAGTGGATGCCTTTAAAAGGTAACAGTAAGATTTTATATAAATCTGAAAAGTTTTTTTTTTCACTTTACATGTTAGTGATGTGACTCGAAAGAGAAAAAAAAAAGTAACTTTTCAGATTTACCAAAATCCTACCTATCAGACTTTGTGTAAAATCACCTAAAAGGTATGGGTGTTCAACAACCGATCCAAATCGATTCAAACCGCGGTGACCGAACCGAGAAACCAATAACTGAATAAACCGAAAACCGAATAAAAACCGCAAATTTTAATTGGATTGGATCGGTTTTCGGATTGGTATATGAAAACCGATCCAATCCAAACCGATCCAATATATTAATTTTCCTCTATCTACTTAAGTCTTTTTTCAATCATAGTCCAAAAATTTCTAAACTCAAGACCCATTAACACATCAACTAAACCCAAGAAAAAACTTAGTCACATCTCATCAACAAAATTTCATCTATGTAGAGCTTCATATGTTATAGTCCAAAAACAAAACTATATTATCTGATGCTTTTGTATTTAAAAAAAATATTACAAATCCAATATACACAAAAGATCTTATTTGCACAAAAATCATGAAATAAATTTTAAGATTTTCAAAAAACCGAAAACCGATCCAATCCAAACCGAAAATTGGATCGGATTGGATCGGATTTGAAAAAAAATCCAAACCGAATGAATGATTACATGATCAAACCGAAGGGATTGGATCAGATGATTTTTGCTTTCAAAATCGATCCAATCCAGACCGCGAACACCCATACTAAAAGCACACAACCTTGTATTCTTTAAAAGAATTTTTTTTTCCTTTTCTTTATAATAAAAATCTTCTGTAAAAGTAACTTTGTTCTTGACAATACAATAGGTAGCAAAAATAACAATTAAAATCAATATTATATACACAAAAGGATATAAACAAATGTACTAATTAAGGGAAAAGGCATATATATTGTTTTTTTTTTTTTTTCAATCATGAATAAGGCAAAAGAAATCGCCATCCCTTTTGTCTAAATTCAACTACAAATCTGAACACACAATTCATTGATACGAGAAATGGTTGGATCTTGCAACATTCTGGATTTTCCATTGCTTGTGCATGTCACGTTCATCTGATTGCCAATCTGCAATGTCTGCATTATGGTATTTAACAAACTTTAATGCGCATAATCGCACACACTCACAACAACAAAAATATGCATTAAGAACAAAACAGGTAAATGGTTAACATTAAGGAAGTGCAGAGCATCTTTAGTCATCAAAATATATCATGTGGTGCAAGTATTGGTCTAGCTGATGGCCAAATCTATATGTTTTGAAATTGATTTTTGTTATACAAATAAAATAAGATTATTTATTGAGCCTGTTATATGCCAAGAAAGTGGTTAAAGATTCCCCCCCTTTAAATCCTCAAGAAATATTATGAATGATAAATCTGGAAGTGAAACAAAACAAGCATCGTTGTATCTATTAGTGTTCTTGAACCAAGAAGGGATAAGAGAGCTTGACAGTAAAATACATGAAGAACTAGGCAGTGGAAAAAAAAAAAATTATGTCATTGGATCAAATAATTCAGATTAACAGGTTTCAGTAAAAATACTTACCGAGCAAGTTGAAGGAGGTGGATCGCAGTTCCATCTTGAAGTTGGAACACAAGATAGATAATGACACCAGGAGCAGTGTTCATTTGCATCAACACCATAGAAAAGTGCAACCAGGCCAATAGTGAACCTGTCAAGCAAACAAAATAACATGAACAGAACTAGAAGTCAAAATGACAGAATAAGAGTGAACAGAAAAGGATTTGTACAAAATGATAGACAAGCCAAAAGTACCGATGCAAGCATGCACCAAAACTTAATTCCATACATACACGTATATTTACTTAAGGGTAGATCTATTTTTGTATCTGTTGAGAAATATAGTCTCACATTGGTTGTATAAGCAACTAATGTGAGGTTTATAAGGCCTTGGGCACTCCCATTCTTTGAGCTAACTTTTGGGGTGGTGACCTCAAGGTTCTTAACATGGTATCAAAGTGTTCGAAATCTCACCGCCTCCCACTTTTTTTGTAGTGGAATTTCCACATGTAGGTGGGCTTGTATGTTGTCCACCCTTCAAGCCCAGTTGACTCTTGTGAGGGGGCGTGTTGAGAAATATAGGCAACTAATGTGAGGTTTATAAGGCCTTGGACACTCCCACCTTTTGAGCTAGCTTTTGGGGTGGTGACCTCAAAGTTCTTTACATGGTATCAGAGCTAGCTTTTGGGGTGGTGTATCCCAAGGTTCTTTACAGTATCAATGTATCAATCTTCCGTTGCTTTGTTTTGTGGAAGAAATAAAAAAGTATCTCAAGAGATCCAAGCCATCTTAGTTCCCGGTAAGCATTTAGATTTACCTTGAGGTACCACTATAATAACAATACTTAAGGAGATAATTACTCCAACAAGATCAGAGATATTATAATATAAGCCACAGTTGGTCTGTGACTAACAAAACTAAGCCAAAGTTTCTTCTATTAAGACAGAAATTTTGCTCTCATTATATTTGGCTACACTTTAGTAGCATCCCTCTTGCGAATCACTTCTTGTTAATGAGTACCGTGTGGTACTTGGACAACAGCTGTAGGAATAACATGACAGGTGATAAAGAAGCTTACCTTGACATGGATTCTTTATTCAGCTCAAAAGTTAAATTTGGCATTGGAAAATATGTTGAAGTAAAAGATAAAGGCAGTATTAGGGTTATAACAAAGCAAGGAAGTAAGGCCATTCATGATACTCTTTATATGCAGGAGTTAGATGAGAAGTTGCTGGGCATTGGATAGCTCTTGGGGCACGAATCTTCTCTAAAATTACAGAACCTGCAGAATTTTTTATTCAAAAGGAAATGTTGTTTCTGTGGTTAACATGACTGAGAACAGAAGTTTTCCACTCTCTTTCAAATACGGTAAAAATTATCGTTTGATGGCGATAGATTTAAATAACTATTGTTTATGGCATAAGAGACTTAGACACTTAAAGTTTTCAGGTGTGTTTGCTATGCTCAAGTTCCCAAAGAAAAAGGACAAAGCCTGAAGAAATAAGTGAGATGGATTTTTGTTAGCTATATTTCTATGCCATAGGGGTATTTAGACATTATAACTAGTACATTGTACATTGAATTCTTCATCCTCATGAAGTTCTCCATCTACACCACGCTCTAACTCATTATCTCCAAGTCCAACTCCAACAACAAATGGGGAGTTTGACTGCTATTTATGCAAGACATTATTATTCTGTGGTGGAACTATAAAATTTTGAAGAAGCAATTAAAGAAAATACTTGGAGGAAGGCTCTGCAAAAATAAATTGATGCAGTTTAAAACTATAAGACATGAATGCCGGTTGAGAAGCATTGATAAGAAATGGGTGTACAGAGTGTAGCATAATCAGGATAGTGTAGTCCAAAAAGAACCAAGGCTAGATTAGTGGAACAGCTTGGTATTGACTATAATAAGATTTTTGCTCAGGTAGCATGTTTGGAAATGATTAGGGTAATCTTTGCATTGGTAGAACAAAAAGGTTAGAACCTGTAACAACTTGATGTGAAATTAGCATTTTAAAAGGAGAATTAAAAGATATATATTTGCAACAACATCAAGGCTTTGTCATTAAAGGCCAAGTAGATAAGGTTTATAAATTGAAGAAAGATTTATACGCACTAAATCAAGCTACATGAGATTGAAAATGACTTCATTGAGCGAGGATTCCAAAGAAGTCAAAGTGTGCCTACTCTGTAGTCAAGCATCAAGGAAGGCTAATATTCTTCTTGTTGCACTTAAGTTGATGATTTGGCGTATACAGATAACAAAAAAATAAACTTAGAAAAAATGAAAATTTTAGAATAGAAATTATGAAAAATATGAGATGAGTGATCTTGGAACAAAAATAAAATTCACTCCCCGTTAAACCTTGACTAGCGAGAGAGGGGTATGAGTGATCTTGGAATATTACATTACTTTATTGTTATTGAGGTTTATCAAGATGAAAATGGAATTTTTATTTGTCAAAAGAAATATCCTGAAAATATCTTGAAGAAATTTGGCATGTTTGGCTACAAACCTATTGATACTGCTTTAGTAGTGAATGAAAAATTTTAAAAGGAAGATGGTGGTAGATTGGTATATGCAAGTATCTATAGAAGTTTGATTAGAAGTTTGTATTATCTCACGACCTCGAGACCTTATTTGATGTTTGCTACTTGTTTAACTCTAGCTTCGTGACTAAACCAAGCCATTCCACATCTTCAGGCAGCAAGAAGAGTTCTAAGGTATGTCATGGGCACCATGGAACATAGGATTAGATTTCAGAAAAATTCTTATCTAAAATTAAAGTATATTATGATAGTGATTGGGATGGGAGTAGGGGTGTCAAAATGGGTTGACACGACACGAATTTGACACGACACGAATTTGACACGACACGAATATATCAACACTAACACGACACGAATTTTTATTCGTGTCAAAATCTTCAACACTGACACGACACGAATTCTTTGCGGGTTAATACGACACGACAAGAATAACACGCAAAATAGGAGCCAAAACAGTAATTGACAAAAAAATTTAAAAAAATGGGTCGAAATTAAAAAAAAAAATAAAAAATAATAATAAAAAAAAATATGGATCAACTCGAACACCAATACATCAACACGAACACGACACGAATTTTTTACGTGTCATTTTTGTGTAATTTTTTCCAACACAAATTTTTTTGCGGGTCAACCCGAACACGAATTTTGGTGTCGTGTCGCGAGTCGACCCACGTGGCCACGTGTGAAGACCTATATTGACACTGGTAGATGGGAGTGTTGTGATAAGAAGAACACTTCAACTTATGTATTTTCTCTTGGGTCTGGTCTGATTTCTTGGCATTCTTAAAGGAAGCAAGAAGCTGTGAGCAATCTTCGGCTAAGGCAGAGAGTATTTAGGAGCTGGTTTAACAACACAACAAGCAATTTGGCTGAGAAGAATTATTGAAGACATTGGAGAGAAGTAAGAGGAAAGTCTTCAACTTCATTGTGACAACAAATTAGCCATTGCTGTGGCAAGGAATCCAGTTTATCATAGCCCGACCAAACACATTAATATAAAAAATCATTTCATCCAAAATGTAATTGGAGCAGAGATGCAACTAATTTTTCTCTGCAATTAGCTCATATTTTCATTAACACTTTCTAAAGCAAAATTCCAGTAACTTAGAGAAGCATTGGGAGTTCAAGCACAACACATCAAGGGGAATATGTTAATTAAGTTTAGAGTGATTGAATATGTTGGAGCTATGACAAGTGAGCTCAGGTCCAGTAATGCAAAAGAGCCCATTACAGTTAGAGAGGAGAGAGGGGCTGTTATGTGGGGGTTAATAAGGAGCTTGCCTCCATATTTTACTTTTAATATAATTTTCTAGTTCCATAAGAATATAACTCTCTTTCCTAGTAATCTAGCAGTCATAAGTATAAATTCATATGTATGTGTTAGTCTGATTAGTGAGAAAACAAAATATTCAATCCAAAATACTCTTCTTAACTCCAAATTCTACACAAATTGGTAATAGCATAAGTCCATATCCTATAGTTTCTTGAGTGATATAATTAAAATACTACCAACACTTCTGATGTAGGAAGTAGTAAAATCTGGCATTCAGGTCAGTAAAAAACCTAGCTCCCTTGATCTTTCAGGTAACACTGGCTCAACATAATTTTCATGTGAGAAATTAGCAAAGAGAATAAGATTTGCTAGATAAAGAGAGATAAACTATCCATTGATATTCCTTACTAGGATCCATTTCTCATAAATATAATTGTATGCCAGAACCTGATTATCTACTTTTGTGGCTAATAAATATAATTTTCCACATAACTCATCTCATTTGAGCCACCTTGTAATCACGGGTGAGTTTTGTTCACTCCAACCTCCTAAGACTTAAATAGAAGTAACTTCCAAAACTGAACATTTATCAATTCAGCCCTCTCGTGAAGCAAGTGAACATTTTTATCTCACTAATAGTGTCAAAACCAATAATTTAAACAATAATTGTAAAAGTGTGATTGAGTGATTACAATCATGAAACTGAGTTTTCAATATATTATACAGTAAACGTAACAGAAGATTTGATAGGTTTGATATGTTTTCAGATTCTAGTCTAAGGTATATAACATGGCTTCTATATAAATTTTTCCTTTAGTACACTAGAAACTGAATCTAAAACCATTACCCAAAACTTTACCTACCAGCTGTTTCAGGTAAGCCCAGGCCATGTTCTAAGTTAACAGGGTTAATATGCTTAAGTTCCCTTTCATTTACTTTTGCTAGAGCAACTTAATATTAGAAGAATGACATTTCAGCTTACCCAACAATTAGCAGGATCAGGGCTAGGACCCATGAGATGCACTGATATTTCTTGAATTTAGGTTTAACTAATTCTGGAGAATATGCTGAGGAAGCATATTGTTGCTTAACCCATCCAAACTGAGGACGTATCAAAAACACAAACCCAAGGAGAAATCCTGAAAGAAACCCTCCAATATGAGCAAAATTGTCCACATGAGGGAGAAACCCCACAGCTAGATTGATAACAATGATAAACACAAGGGTGAATAATGCTCCTAGCTGCACATGACAAGAAAGTCTTAATCAAAACAATAGTTTTCCCTCAAGAGCATAACTCTTCCTTTTGAGATATTCACATTTCGAATATGAGCAATTTGATAAGCACCTTTTTATCATACATAGACCAGTTAGTAATGAGTTCTGAAAGCATGCCTCCCAGCAAGCCAAAAAGAGCACCAGAAGCACCAACTGCAATGCTACTCCGAATAAAAAGAGCAGAAAGCAAGCTTCCTCCTAATCCAGAAATGACAAATAGCAATCCAATAAGCACTGCAAAACAACTATACAATAATTAGGAAAAATATTTTAGAGATAAATCTAGTAAATAATAACAAAATCAGAAAATCATGCCTCCTAGAAGAGAAAATAAAATTAAAAGTATCTTTAATCCCATTTTGTTCTATTTATCAGATAATAAAGAGTACAGCCCAAATTTTTCCTCCAATCAGATTTAGAATATTAATATTGTTACACATCTGTGTATAAGTCTAGAAACAACCATGTGTTTTCCTTTCACCAACTATCAATAACTAGATGTAGGTCAATCCCAGATATCTCCGTAATTTACCCTTCAACAGGTACTGTTGACAATGAAGAACAAATCTTCTTACTGTCTACTTAGCTTTATCATTCTACTTTTCTACCCAAATCCACGTGAAGAGAACAAGACTTAGCAGGAAAAGATTAAAATTTTGAGTAAATACTCTTTTTGGTCCTCGAGCAAATTTCACGATGCCCGCTTTAGTCCCTAACAAATAAAAAGACCCATCGTGGTCCCTAAGAAATTTAAAATGAATCCATTTTAATCCTTTTGAGGGACTAATATGGATTTTTTTTGAATTTGTGAAGGACCACGATTTCAACTAAATGGGTCCATTTTGAATTTGTTAGGGACCACGATAGGCCTTTTTATTTGCTAGGAACTAAAGGGGGCATCGTGAAATTTGCTGAGGACCAAAAAAGATATTTACTCCAAAACTTTTATGACTACCAGTAATCGATGTTATTCTGTCAGAGTGAATTTATCTTAAAGGTTCTCCTGGCCTTAACTCATTATAACTTGATAATTGCAAGGTACATAGAAAAGTATTAATTGGTCATGATTTTGAATATGTCACTATACCGAACCCAAAATCTTGCTCAAGCTGAATTCCAACGACTAGAATACCGAACATATTTGCTAATAGATGGAACACTCCAGCATGTAACCATATGCAAGTGATTAGGCGCCAACCCTGGTGTCCGTGAACCACTCTGTGCACATCCAGACCCCCCATACTCTGTAGCCTGAACAGTAAACAAAAACCAGCTCTTGAATCATAGTAACAAATAATAAATATTTTGTAGCTACAAAGCCAAAATTAAAAATAAAAAGTTATAGAGAATATTGACATAATTTTGCTATTTTGACGATGCTTGTTTGATAAGAGAAAGTAATAAGTTTTACTTATATAATTGAGAGAAATTCTTGGCAATCAAGTATTTATTTTTTATTTTTTTTAATTCATCTATAAATTTTCAGCGGCAGAACAGGAACTAGGACAAAAACTCACGTCAAATATGAAGGCCCCAGAAGAGGGTTCTCTTTAAAAGGCTGAAAGGAGAAACGACCAAGGAACCGGGCTAAGCAGGAGTCCGTGTTGTTGGGACAATCGTTGACATACATGGTGATAATGAACACAATGATATTGGCAATGAAAATAAAGGGAATCAACCAAGAAACCCATTTCTTGAAATGCTTTATATCCCTGTATTCAACAACAGTAGGTGTAGTTTTTGATGGCAAAGTTGGGTCTATCTCCATTGGGTGCACCACCTTGCTAAACAGCCTAGAGTTTACCCTCAGGTGAACCTCTGATGGTGGTGGCTCTCCCTCCATATGGTGGAGGAAAATAAAAAAGGAAGAGAAAAAAAATTAAATTCTTGAACTATTTTTCTGGCCAAATTTGATCAAACTCTATAGGCGTAACATAAGTGTGAATAATGAAATGAAGATGATGATTTGATGAGTCAAAGGTTTCATAGCACCCCCACAATTAATTTGTTTCTGCCTAGGGACACTATTTGTTTATATACTTTCTTGCAAACTCCTGTTTTCAATCACCACTCATTACTAGGTAGCAATTTGGAGTGTTCTGCTTGGAGGGTCCTTTGTTGAAGAAGACAATGTTTCCAACACACATTTCAATGTTCCATGCCTTGTTTGGAAAAATAAAACAAAAAATTAAGTCATGCTATTTCCCAATTGACATTTGGATCCCCTAGAATTTAGAAATAGGATATGTGACTGGCTTAGATGACATACATAAAGATACACAGGAATGGCTGAAAATTGAAGCTGACTCATGCCATGATTCCACCCATAACAAACAAATTTTGGGTCTGCTGTATAATATTGTAGTGGGGACAAAAAAAACACAGACAGTTTATATAGTTATTTAGTCAAGTTGTTTTGATAATATTAAATCATTTAATAATAATAAAAAAATTTAATGATGCCTAATATTAAATTCAAAAGTAAATGCAAGAGGAAAGATACATACAATGTAAAACAGCCAAAATTCAAGTGTCATGAATCATGATGACAGTTTAAAAGCAGCAATTTCAAAGCACTACCATACTCTTACGATGTCTAAGTCAACTGACCTTCATTTTCATTTTACATCCATAAGCGACATATTTTAGGATTTAATATGATGCCCAAACATTTTACTTCCAAAATAAACGAACAAATTAAAGAAAACGTATAGCATTTTACATCAAATGCATTAGGTAGGAATAAACATCAATGAAGAAAATGGATATTATAACAAACCACCCCTGAGCTGAATTCAATATTATATATATATATATTTTTATAACAAAATGATATATATATATATATATATATATATATATATATATATATATATATATATATAAAAGAATACAAGAATTATGTTATAGGAAAATACAAGAATTATGTTATAGGAAATTTTCAAGGTCATGCTACAGATACAATAATTGTGGGTCCCACCAATTTTAAAAAAAGCAAAAAATAAAAGAAAAAATGGAACATCTTTTTATGGTTTCCATAGGAAGGTTTGTTATTTCTTGTAACATGAAGAAAAACAAACTATATATATATATATATATATATAGGGTTTTATAATTCTCATTTAATATGAGAATTAAAATTTTTCTACACAACCTTCGATTTTTGTGCTGACACGGGTCCTACATACATGTTTTTTATCTCTACAACATGAGATTTCAATTCTCATTCAACATGAGAATTATAAAACCCATATATATATATAGGGGTAGGATTCTTTGACACCGGTGTCAAACTTTAAAATTTGACACCAAATCCTAATTGTTGATTTTCGTCAATCAACGATTATCATTTATTGGGAATCAAACTTATTAATTAATTATTAATTTCCAATAAATGATAACCGTTGATTAGCGGAAATCAACGAAAATCAACGGTTAGGATTTGATGTCAAATTTCAAAGTTTGACACCGGTGTCAAATGATCATATCCTATATATATATATATATATATATATATATATATATATATATATATAGGTAGGATCCTTTGACACCTCATCTGAGAGTCATTAGATAAAAAAAGATCAACGACTTTGATTTGTAAACATGTGACACCATTGATCTTTTTTGATCTAATGGCTCTCAGATGAAGTGTCAAATTTTAAATTTGACACTAGTGTCAAAGGATCCTACCTCATATATATATACATATATATATATATATATATATACATATATATATACATATATATAAGTAAAATGATTTGTAATGTGACTGCATCTAAAGATTGGTGCAGATACACTATGTAATATGAGTAGTACATAGTGTAACTGCACCTATGTGTGAAAGTGGGTCAGGCCGGCTTACAGGGGCTTACGGCCTAGCTTATATCAGGCCGGGCTTGACCTATTATATATAGTCAAATAGAACAGGGCTAGACTTTTAAAGAAGTCTATTTAGAAAGTGGGTGATAGGCTTTTTTTTACATACTTGGCCTATAAACCTACAGGCTGGCCTATATCATATTATTTATTTTAAATTAAATAAAATAATATTATTCATAGTGGTACCAAATGATAATAGTTCAATTGGTTCATGTGAACTAAGTAAGTGGTGGAAGTACTTAGGTTCGTTCCCTCACCAATGCATATTGTGATGAGTTTTGTTGTGATTCATGATTTTGTTTGGACGTTGAAATTGTGATTTTTGTTTTAACAACAGAATTTAAGTATTTTGTAAAGTTATTCATGGTTCTGCTTGAAAGTTAAAAATTAATAAACTAACAGGTCAAGTCAGGCTATTTATTTTTTTTATAAACAGGACAAACCAGACTAATAGTTAGACTCGTATCAGGCTCGGGCCCGACCAAATTAAAATTGTTTGACATAGACTCGGCCCGGCCCAGCCCACTTTCATCTCTAAGTATATCAATCCTTAAGTACAGTTAGTATATATGCGCTTAACCCATATATTTATTTTATATTTAAGGTTAGTAAGAGGTATAAAATATTTTATATTTTATATATCCCGTCTTGTAGGGTTCGCGGGATATTAGTTGGAGTGTGGTGATCTCATTTATTGATGAACATCTTTTGAGGTTTGGCATGTTCATTCGAAGCAGTAAAGGGGTGTACCCGAGAGAGATAAAGCAATTTTTATTTTTTAAAGAAAAGAAATATAACAAAATAAAATGAAAAGTCGTTACAACAAAAACAAATGAACAAACAAACAACATAACTCTTCCCTTTTAATTTTTCCCAAGACTGATGAAGGATCCCCTCACAATGAGATCTCACTGTTTTTGGAAGAGGGCATTCCTGCAAAGGAATAGGAAGAGGGCTATACCGAATTATATTTTTACAAGATGTTTGGTATAGAAGTAATTTTTTTTAATCGGGAATTATGATTTTCGAGAATATGGTAGAAAAGTGAGTTTTTCGAAAATGTTGCAAAAAAATTGTTTGGTAGACCAAAATATTTTAAAAAATGTTGAGTTAATTCTCCTGATGTCATGTTTGTTTGATTATAAAATATTATTAGAAATGTGTATTTTAAAATATTCTCATCACATGGGATTCTCAAAATACCACCCATTTGGTGATATTTTAAGATGAAATTTTTCTTCATAAATGTAAATCTTGGGAATCCAACTTTTTCGGGGAAAATTTTATAATCCTCGTACCAAACGTGAATAAATCGAATTCTCAATCTCAGATTCTTGTATTCTAAAATTTTTCCTCCTACAAAACACCCCTTAGGTTTTATTTGGGAGTTGGTTTTAGGAGGGGAAGGAAAGAAAATGGAGGGTTTTAATAAGTCTTTCCCTTGTTTGTGAGTTTAAAAAAATGAGGGAAAGAAATTGAGGATTTTTATTAAATCCTCTAAAACCCTCGTTCTTCTAAAAATTAAAGTTCTCCAGATTTGGGGGGTTTAAGCGGAGAAATATTAAAAAATACTTATATATCCTTAGCATTAAAAATGTGAAAACTACATAAATGTGAATCATTTTTAAATGTGATTTTATTAGAAAAGTCTCAAATACTAACAGAATTTATTGACGAAAAATATTTCGTCAAAAACAGTGATAAATTTTTTGATGAAAATCATATACGTCAAAAATATTCCGTCAAAATTAAAGATGAAACCAGATTTTGTCATAATCATTGACCTAAAATTTTTACGGAAAAACAATTTAGTCAGAATTATTCTATAATTCCGTCGAAACTTTCAACAAAAATATTTTCGTCCAAAATTTTGACGAAACACATTTCCCTCGAAAAGTTTAGACGTAAAGCAATTACATCAAATTTTTTTACGGAAATTTTTTTTTGTCAAATTTTTTTACGGAATCTAAATTTCGTCAAAAAAATTCCCTCAAAATATTTCACTAAAAAACATAATCATCGAAATTTTCGACAAAAATTATTTCCATCAAAATTCTTTATAGAATTCAAATTCTGTCGAAAACTCATTTTCGTTAAACTTTTAGACAAAAAAAATTTCTGTCAAAATTTTTAACGAAACACATTTCCATCGACAATTTTCGACGAAAAATATTTCGGTCAAGTTTTTTGATAAAAAAAATATTTTCATCAAAATTTTCAACGTAACACATTTCTGTCAAAAAAATATGTCAAAAAATATTTTCGTCAAAATTTTTGATGAAAAATATTTTGATTAAAAATTTTAACGGAAAAAATATTTTGTCAAAATTCTTTACAGAATCTAAATTTCCTCAAAGGTTTCGAATGAAACATTTCCCTCAAAATTTTTGACAAAACAATTTTCGTCAAAATTTTTATCAGATCACATTTCCATTGAAATTTTGAACTGTAAACATTCCGTCAAAATTTTTTATGGAATTCTTTTTTCGTTTAAAATATTTGATGGAGAAAATCATTTTCGTCAAAATTTTTGATAGAAAATTTATTTTTGTAACAATTTTCATATAATAAAAAAATCTCGTTCCGAGGTTGACAATAGGATCACTTCGCGCCGTTTTTCATGTAATAAGCAAGGTTTTCATGTGATAGGTAGAAATGGAGTCAGGCATGTTCATGTAAATCAATCCAGTTTCCAAGAATCGTTTTTCTTTTTGTACTATTGCTAAATCAAACCATTAACAGTGTTTGCATTTTCTTATTTATGCAAAAAGACAAAAAAAACACCGTACCTATTACAGATAGATTTTAACCATCAACCAATACATTGGAACTCAAATTCTCTCAGAGAACTGAGGTTGGCGTACTCGTTGATTTTTTTGTTTCTTTCATTTGCTTGTTTATCATATTTTAAAACCTAATAGGTTGGCGTACTATATCAAAAAGAAAGTTACAAAATCA